TACTTAAGGTTTCTCTTGAACTTCCTGTAGACGAAGTAGAAATTGAAGGGATTAGCAAGTAGTAGAACTATCCGGTTTGGTTGAGAGTTCATGAATACAGGAGTCCTTGCTGGTGTAACAGATGATGAAGAGAACGAGGTTGGTGGAAGCGCAAGAGGTAGGTCAGCGTGGAGTCAGAGGTCAGAACAAAATAACTCAGCAATTTGAGTTTGGCGCAGCTTCCCTATAAGGCAAGGGGAGTGGAGTGTCATTGGAATGGGAGGAGCTTACTTCCGAATGCGGAAGTAACTTCAGGGGAGCGGAGTCACGGTAATTGTATGACACACTGTCAAAAAGGGGCCAAGCATGGATGTCATTATAATTATGCCCGCCCCCCCCGGAAAAAATTCCTGCGGACGCCCATGGTCTGGAGTAAGGTTGGGGATATGATAATATGATAGGATCGAGAATGATGAGGGAATATGAGGGATGTGGAATAGGTACAAGATAACACATGAAAAGGTGAAGATGAGATGGGGTGGAGTAGGGGATATGATGATTTGTGAAGAGCTAGATGACATTCAGGAAGGGATTAGGTGATACCAATATTATGGGGGCATGAAAAGAGACTGGAATATGGATCCTTTATTTTGCCCAATGGGAAAGGATGAATTCTCACTGTTCTTTTTGAGCCGTAAAAACATGCCTCTTCTCAACATTTGAGTTGAATGAATTGCCAAGATGTGGCAGCAAAAGCTATTTGCCACTTACCTTTTGAACTTTTATCAGTATTACTATTTATAAAGTGTCAACAGATTCCACAGAGCTGTACAATGGATGGAGTAACAGACTGGTATTTGTAACCGTTGGTGCATGACGAGTTAGGCGCACAGGAACAGAGGGTGTTGAGGGCCCTGTTCAAATGAGCGTACGTTTTAGAGGAAGTGGGGTAAAGTGACACAAAAGGTAAGGGTAGGGTAGAAAAGTAGGTTCATTGAATAGTTTTTATTGAGGGCTTAGTTGTTTGTTTTTTTGGGTGATAACAGTTGCAGGAGAAGAAGCAAGGTGCAGGGAGGGATAACTATTCAGTTTAATTGATATGCTTTCCTAAAGAAGTGAATTTTCAATGATTTTTTGAAAGAATGGAGAATAGATGAGAGTCTAACGCAGGGGTTCTCAACCCAGTCCTCAGGACCCCCTACCAGTCCAGGATTTGGGGATTACCTGGGTGTGTCTCAGGTGTTTAGAAAAAGGGAAAAAAACACCTTAGACTAAGGTGTTTTTTTTTCTAAACACCTTAGACACACCCAGGTAATCCCTAAACCCTGGACTGGTAGGGGGTCCTGAGGACTAACGTTGAGAACCCCTGGTCTAACAGAACAGGGAAGGGAGTTCCATAGGAAGCAGGGCCATCTTTTAGGCGGGGCAAACGGCCAACTGGGGGGGGGGGGGCCAAAGCAGCTTTTCTTTTTTCCATGGGCCTGTCTGTACAGTGGAAGGGGAGGGTGGGAAATGACTGGCACACTAAGGGATCCCACCGGGTGGCCCATGCACTTAGTCCAGACTACAGCATAGAGGAAGTGATGGAGCCTAATTCCCAACAGCCTCAGCTTGCCACTATTGACCCCGGGGGAACCCACCCTCCTGCAAAAGGTTGGAAACTGAAGGTTGGCTATAAAAGTTAAAATTTGTGTTGTGTGTGTTTGTGTGTCACTATGTCTGTCGGTGTATGTCTCTGTGTGTTTGTGTCAATATGCCTGTCATTGTATGTATCTGTGTGTCAGTATGTCTGTCCGTGTATATATCTGTGTTTGTCAGTATGTCTGTCAGTATATATGTCTGTGTATCTGCATGTTTGTATGTGTATCTGGGTGTTGCAAGTGTATGTATCTGTGTGTCTGAATCTGTGTCAGTGTGTATATGTATCTGTATATCTGCATGTGTGTCTGTGTTTCAGTGTGTATATCTGTGTATCTGCATGTGTTTAAGTATGTGTGTGTACCACAGTGTGTATGTGAACTCAGAATTCAAACGCCAGCACTACACAAAAATACACCCCTGCATTCAGACTTCAGCACTACATACAAACACACTCCTACATTGAAATGTCAATACTACACACAAACAAACCTCTGTGTTAAACACCAACATTATATATAAACACACTTCTGCATTCAAAAATCCAACACTACACATAAATGCATGTTTGCAGTCAAACTCCAACACCACATACAAACATACGCCATACAAAAAATGCTTACATTCAAACACACAAATACTGCTCAGTGATACATACAAACCTACAAGGATGAGAAAATGGTAGAGCCCCAGCTGTCAAGGCATTGTTGGAGTTGCACAACAGATAGAAATCTACCTTTTGTCCACCCTTCTTCCACCAGGGCCTTTTTACTTTACCTTTGCCACTGTGTTGGGGCAGGGTCCAGGGGGCCCAAGCAATTGCTTGCCTAGGGTCCAATCATTATTAAAGAAGGATGTCTTGAAGGTGAGAATCAGAGGTGAGCATACGAATAGAGGACAGGGGCCGTGACTGGACCTTGTTGTGAACTACAGAGGATAAGTAGGAGCAGTGTTATGTACAGGTTTGTAAGCAAGTACCAGAATTTTCAATTGAGCCCTATCTTATCATTTTCATTGTCAAATAAAATTGTACATAGGACAAAGTAGTCCCTACTTCATGTTATATCATTTCATTGCCATCATTATGATATCTTTGAATTGCAGTCTGTATGACAATTTTATAAAGAGTCCATTTATGAAAAATTCAAAAGTGACTGTGATGCTTGCTGTCTCAGAGCAACTGCAGCTGTTTAGACAATGCAGCCATTTAAAAGGCCATCAGTCACAAGTCCCCTTTCTATGAGTTTTGCTCCAGCAGACTCTGTATATATGACTTCAATGAATACCACAGAAAGCTCTCAATATAAATTTAGATTAGCTCTTTGACACAGAGAAATGAATTCACTGTAAGTCAGATTTACACAGGACATCAATTATATATTTAGTCACAAATATAAGCAATGTGTCTGACTGTTTCCCTTAAAATAGTTGTATTGTTAGACCTCTGAGCGAAGCTTCCTAGCTGGCTCACCCATTTGTTGGCTTACAGTAGATTCATGGTACAGATTGAAGTGTAATGAATATAGAAAAAAGATTACATAAGCGTAGGAAGTGGGGAGAGAACAGATCACCCGATAATTTTTCAGGGGATGACAAGATCCTCCAGAGCTGTGGACCTCAGCCCTCTTGGACAACTGAAGGACCGGCACATAGAGAAATTGTTCTTCTGGCCATCAAGCAGCTTTTACTACACAAAACACCACAGATTTATAGTCTTGTGATAGTTCTGATCATTTAATTTACTACAATATATACTAAAAATGTGCTTTGTTGGACATTCCTTTGGGTCCTTGGAGACATATTTGCCATATTCTGATAACTACTAAGTTACAATTAAAACTGTATGCTATAATAATATTGTTAATAATAATGTCCTTTTTTTTGAAGCCCTTTTTTACAAGGCACTGTTACTTTTAAAAGACCATTGAAGCTCTCAGACCACTTCACAACAATGGTAGTGTTATTGCAGTGGCCTTTAGTTTTAACCATGCAATCTAAAACATTGCAGTAAACACAGCTCTACTCTAGCCCTTTTGTCAGACTCCCTTATCAATCAAATGCTGCTCACGGAGAGCAGCTAATTGGCTCAGCACAGCAATTTGCTGCACGTGTGTACCGGCCTCCCAATGTTTCCCTATGGGGAAGAATTGGATTGACTGAGATTATCAATCTTGATGATCTCAACTAGGGAAGCGTAGCATCTGGAGCAAGACAAGCACAACAAGGGGAAAAAGACACATGGGGGTGGGGTGGACACCAAAATAAGTAGATTAACCCCTTAATAATGCAATATATACCATGCCACCCTGCAGAAAGTGGGCTTTAACGCTGCAGTGCAGCATGATACGCCCTGCAGATCACCAGACCCCTGCATTATTAATAAAATCTATTTAGAAGGTATATATTTATGGTCTAAGTACATATGTATAGACATACACACTTTCATTAATTTTAAAGGACCACTATAGACACCCAGACCACTTCAGCTCAATGAAGTGGTCTGGGTGCCAGGTCCATCTAGGACCTGGAACCCAGCAGCTGTAAACATAGTTTCAGAGAAACTGCTATGTTTACACTAGGGTTAATCCAGCCTCTAGTGGCGGTCTCATTGACAGCCGCTAGAGGCGCTTCCGCGCTTCTCACTGTGATTTTCACAGTGAGAAGATGCTTGCGTCCATAGGAAAGCATTGAGAAATGCTTTCCTATGGACTGATTGAATGCGTGTGGCTCTTTCTGCGAATGCGCGTTCGTCGGAAGAGGGAGGAGAGTCCTCAGCGCCGAGGGAGCCCATGCTGGAGAAAGGTAAGAGATTAACCCCTTCCTCCCCCTAGAGCCCGGCGGGAGGGGGGCCATGAGGGGGAGGGGGAACTATTAAGAATATAGTGCCAGGAAAACGAGTTTTCCTGGCACTATAGTGGTCCTTTAAGCATATTTTATTATTAATAAATATATATATATATATATATATATATATATATATATAAATATAAAACTAAAAATAATAAATTATATATCTATATGTATTTCCAGGTCCCAGCACTCCATGTTCCCGGTCCTTTTGTGTTCCGGTGCACAATCTCCAACTAAAATATATATAGCTAGTAGAGAGTACTCTGGAGTCTTGGTAAAGTAAATTCAAACTGCTGCTTTATTAAGCAAACACACAATAGTCTAGCAGTTTGAATTTACTTTACCAAGACTCCAGAGTGCTCTCTACTAGGTATATATATGTATGTGTATAATTTCATTGTAACTGTACTTTGATATTGATAAGTAAATTGGAGTTGTGGGAGGGGCTAGTGCTGATAAAAGAGCTCTCCTGTCATCTCCAGACTCCACCTCTGTATCGCACAGTTCGTGTTGTCACTTCCGGGTTACACCAGTGTTGCTGCCTGATCGCTGCACAGAGGTCCTGCCGCTGCCGGGCATCTAAATGCTCCAGGAGGCTGTCTTCCTGCCTAACAGTGAGTTGGCAGATGGGTGCCTCAAGCACACCGTCTGTATCGTTGACTAGGGAACCCTCCGTCTTTCCAGGATCCCCAGCACCGAGTTAGCACAATTAGTCCCCCATGCACACGCAGGATTGCTGTGTGTAAAGGGATTTCCCTTTGTACTTGCCGCATACTGGCTTTCATTTAGTCGAACAAGCGGTTCGGTAGGTTAACCCCCCCAACGTGCAGGCAACTTAGTAATCATAATAAGGAATAAGGGTTAAGATATAGGCTGACGATCTGCATGTTTATTGTTGGATTGCACACTCCTTTCCCCTCCCTCCTGGTAAACAAACTTCCCGGTTGTTCGGTTACATCAAATATACCAGGTCACTCTAATTACTTGCTTAATTTTTTTCCCCTACTTCAATTCTTTTAAGCATGGCCTATACCACTGGAATATACAACAGATAGTTATTGCAACCCACTTTGCACCAATTTGGGTTTTGGGCACGAGTCACATTGTCTGGTTGTCTCTGCACAGGCTCGAATACAATGTCTGTCAGACAGTCCCCCAAAACTGCAATAAAGTAACAAAAAAATATTAGCACACTTAATTAATAAAATCTATTTAGAAGGTATATATTTATGGTCTAAGTACATATGTATAGACACATACACACTTTAATTTTAAGCATATTTTATTATTACTTTATATATGTTATTATAGACACTTAAGGGTGTTGCATTGACATTGTCCACATATCCTTTTCTCCAAGTTATAAGTCTGGCCCCAAGAACTGAAGCTGCCATTTTAAGTCTTGTCTAAAAACTTGCTAGGTAGGCAGTTACTCCTTTGAGATACTATTGGGTTACGGTTAAATTCTTTGACTCAGACATGATTCTCCCTTCCACATACCCTTAGGTGCCCCACTTACTACTGAACCTTCAAATCCTGGGCATACGAATTCAATTAAGTTCACACAGGTACGTTCGCCAGTTAGCTCATACTGGAATTTCCCTGTTTCTAGCAGTCCTTTAGACCAGAGGAATGGCTGGCTATTAAGGAAATTAGGTTCCATATTTAGCTTTCTAAAGGCCTTCTTTTCCCATCCTCTGGTATTCGGCCCTCGGTCCAACGCATACATAGCCGCCTCGCAAGTTACACAGAGAGGGCCTTGTAACGGATCGCCTGGCACCCCGACTGGGTACCTCCGTTGAAGGATGCTCCTAACGCTTCCTGAGGACTCCAAGCACTGCAGCAGACACCAAAACCACCGAACCGTAGGAACAAATAAATTCTCCCACGCATATGAATGCTGTAGACAGTTGAATAGGAAACCATGCGAATAGGTTTACTCTCCTAGCAGTCAAACTGGAACAGCATACAATAAATCCTTCCCCCAATAATGAGACGACACTTCACTTTGAGGGTTAAAACAGGAACTCCCTGTACTGTCACATACAGTCTCTACCTGCCATCGGTGGGTCTTCCCAGGACCAGTCTATGAGGTCCCCTACTTCTGCAGCTGGTAGTGAAGCAGGAGGTACCTTGGCTGCGTTTTCCCAGCTGTAGGTTGGCAGGTCTGGGTCCGCCAGCCAGTTTTCCTGTTCTGTGTTCATGCCCTGTGGCTGACATGAGTTTAGTAGTTCCACATAGTCCATCTCTAGCTGTCGTTCCATGGCAGCCAAACGGTGGAGGTCTTGTCCCAGTCCCATAGATCTCGGGCCCTGTACCATCTCACCCCGGTAATAAAAGATAGCCCAGTACCGTGACTCTGCTGGACTGCCAAAGTCGACGTCTTCTGCTAAGGCCTTCCACAACAGGCCAGGGCTAGTGTAGTTCTCCCCCTCCGGCTGGATGCCCTCTGCCCTCCACGTCTCTGGCTGGACAGTGCACCACCACAGTGCCCGGTATGAGGCGTCAAGGCTCAGTTCCCTTTCCACGAGGTACTCAAGTTGTCTGACCTGCTGCCCTCCGGGTTGGTCTCCCAGAAGCGGCATCCGCCAGGCCATTTGTTCCTCCAACTGGTATGCGACACCAGGAAGGCGCTGCTGCCGTTGATACTGGACTTCCTCCAGGGCATCGTACCATAGTTCTTGCCGGGCAATATCTCTCCATTCCAATTCACTCTCTTCCTCAGGTGTGCGTGTTGCCCAAGGATCCACGAACCCCATTTTCCCAAATCTCTATGTAGACAGGGACGCTGTATAAACACTAGCGTCGCCTTCAATTTGTAAATCCAAACGAACTGTGTCTCTGAGCTGCTTTACCTTGCACTAGGACGCCATCCCACCGCTTGCCACCAATGTAACGGATCGCCTGGCACCCCGACTGGGTACCTCCGTTGAAGGATGCTCCTAGCGCTTCCTGAGGACTCCAAGCACTGCAGCAGACACCACAACCACCGAACCGGAGAAACAAATAAATTCTCCCAAGCATATGAATGCTGTAGACAGTTGAATAGGAAACCATGCGAATAGGTTTACTCTCCTAGCAGTCAAACTGGAACAGCATACAATAAATCCTTCCCCCAATAATGAGACGACACTTCACTTTGAGGGTTAAAACAGGAACTCCCTGTACTGTCACATACAGTCTCTTTTATTCCCAATCCACAAACATAGTACAGCCCACAGGGCGTTACAAAACAACCAATCAATCCGTATAATACACCCAGACACTCCCACACAAAATCCTCCCCTCTGCATGTGATATGATTACTGAACACAATGGGTAATCTCATTATCACCGGCAGAGGAATACAGTTTTTACACAATATTTATAACTTCTAAAATATACATGTCACAAACATAAAACATACATTTTCATAATCAATCCATTCAGGGAACAACATATTAAAAAATGGCACGAATCAGACCAGGGGTTCAAAAGTTAAGGGAAAGTCCTTTGTGACTAAATGAAGCATGGCTTTCTGGCCCAAACCAGTTTCAGAGTCTTCTATCCTGGAGATTGAATTGAGAAGTAATTCAATTATCTCCCAGGACAGACACAAGACTCCATTAAGCACATGGTTGCAAAAAGACACAAAACACTTTAAAATACATAAAGTCACCTTTTACACATAAGACACAGACATTTCACATATCCCCAGATAGCTGGGATCTGAGCGCACAAAACTACCGAATAGCGCTCAGATCCTATTCACACAGTTCAATTGCCATGGAGCCGAAGTCTTTAACTACACGAATGGGCTCCATGGCATAGCTATCTGGGTTAACACATTCACATAAAGTCTGGTCCATAGTCCAAAGGCAAGAGGCGGGCAAGGAGCCCCCTCCAAGGACACGTGGCGAGGCCGGTTTCGCCACAGGCCTCAATTGTCATTCCCAACTGTATTTTTCTTTTAAATTGCCACAATGCTCCGTGCTAATAGGCCCGCGATTCAACTCATAGATGGAGCCTCTCAAGCTGCTTGGCTTTAGCAGGGCATCACCTGTCACCACATAGTGAATATTTTTGGAACTAATTAGCAGACAGTACCCTAGGTGACAAGGTCTTAATTTCCAATTCTCATTATTTTTAGTATGTCACAAGTTTCAGAGGGAGGAGATGATCTTTCACTCCCTAGCACCCCAGTTCACCATCGGGGAGACGTGAATCAGCCAGTCCATCATATATTAGATCTTGGACAATACCACGTATTCAACTTGATCTCAGAAGAAGTATTCAATTCCTGGCTACAGCCAGGAAAGCTGTTTTGTTTAGACTAATGCAGACTTACACAGGCAGCGCATGGGAAGGGTCTAGCGGAAACATCAACCCGCCGGACTTACAAACTATGATGAATTCTCTCCTATCATCCATTGGTCAAATTAGAGATAGGATCAAGTCAGGCCATTAGAGATAGATTAGAGTCGGGCCACTTGGCAATGAACCCAACTTTGTCAGATGCTACATCTCTAGCAGCTGCTACAGCTATTTTACAGGGTAATGAAGCAGTCCCCATATCCACAATTGATACCCTCATGATAACACCAGCCCATATGGTGCCACCTCAGATCCACAAAGATATCCTGGAAGGTAAGAATGTGAACTTGGTTTCCTTCTTATTGCTTCCCAAGATATTGTGGTGTATAAGACGTATGCTTGTGGGAACTTATCTGTGGTCCTCAAGGCTAGAGATCCCAGACTCAGTAAAAAAACTTACAATTCCCAAATTCGTACTGGCATTTGGGATCTATAGGGATGTGGTGTGTACTAATTTGCCACATAGGAGAGAAGAATTTGACACTTATATGCATAAGCTGGTGGACCTGGGGCACAAGTACGGTGGATACGCCTTTTATGATTATCATAGGTCATTCTCGGCCAAAGCAGCGGCAACTCTGGCCCAGTTTAATACAGTCATTAATTGGAGTAAACTGGACACAGAGTTGTTCTGTAGGCGTTTCGCCGGCCTGAGGACACCAGCCTGTGCTTGGTGTTCGTCAACCTCCCTCGCGACTAACCTTTGCCCCATTGACACCTCAGTTTTGGGCCAACAACCCCCTGGTTTACCAGCCAGATCTGAGAATGTCATTAAAGATAAGCTTGCCAGACCAATTGTGTTCCTTGGGAAATCCCAAATATGTAATAATTTTAATGCGGGTGCTTGTGGGTTTAGTGCCTGTAGGTTATTACATATCTGTATGCAATGTTTCCGAGCACATTCTAAGATAATGTGCCCCAATAAACTACATCCCAAACAGTATTTCACATCTGTTAATATTAATATTATATTATTATTAAGTTGCCTCAACTGTTAACGTCACACCATCTCCACAATTAGTGGATTTCTTGATTTCAGGGTTTTCACACGGTTTCCACACTGGCATTTTGGCCTTACCTACTGGTATTACAGAATGTAAAAACTTGCAGTCAGCCATCAATGACCCAGGTTCAGGAGACAAACTTTTACTACACGAATTGGATCAAGGGTTCATCCTAGGCCCATTTCCCACACCTCCCTTTGCTATTTGGCAGACGAATCCATTATGTGTTGTCACGGGGAAACCTTTTTTTAAAGAGGCTGATTATCGATCTTTCCGCACCTGACTCCTCCAACATCCCCAGTTTAAATTCTTCAATTCCATCCGAGGAATTCTCTCTACAATATACCACGATAGACAATGCAGTCCAAGCAATCATATCAGCCAGCGTTGGGGCATGGTTAGGTAAGACCGACATTGTAAATGCCTTTAAAATACCCCCAGCTCATCCTTCTCTATGGCATCTTTATCGTGTTAAGTGGAGAAACCAGTATTATATTTTCAATAGGCTGACGTACGGTTAAAACAGTAGCCCCAAATTTTTTTTATACCCTTGCCGAAACCTTATGCTGGTTGCTTCTTAATTCATGTAGATGTCCATCAGTACTTAACTATTTAGACAATTTTCTCATCATAGAGTGTAATGATAATCCACCACGTAGTCTACAGGATACCATACAGCTGTTTGAAAAGTTTGGGTGTCCAGGTTTCGCCTTCCAAAACAGAATATCCCGACACCACAGTCAGTTTTCTTGGCATTCAACTAGACTCCATGGCTATGGAATCCGTCTTACCAAGGGATAAAACTGAACGTATACTAGCAGATATTGATGATTACTTACGACTGTGTTCCTGTAGCCGTAAGGAATTACAATCATTGCTTGGATCGTTAAATGTTGCGATGAGAATAATCCCTCAGGGCAGGTCATTCATTTCACGGTTTCTATGTTTATTACCATGTCTTCCCTCCGAAGATAGCAGAGTTTCCCTTGATTACCAGGCCACAGCAGATTTACAGATGTGGCAGAAATTCCTGTCAGTGGAATGGAAAATATATGTTCATCCCTCGTATTTCATACAATTCTCCAATGCTCTGGTCAGATGCAGTGGCTTCCACTGGCTTTGCAGCTATTTGTGGTGACCAATGGCTGTGGGGCTAATGGCATCCCGAAACCGATGCTTTTAAGGCCTTTAATCCGACTTCAGCATTATTTGAAATTTATCCTATTGTAGCCGCAGCAGCGGCCTGGGGACACTCTTGGTCTGGACAAACAGTACGGTGGTTTTCTGACATTCAAGCGGCATGCCATATCACTAAAAAGGGTCGTTCCCCTTCTCTCATTATCATTAGACACTTAACTCGGTTAGCTGCTACTCATCAATTCTTTATCTGGAGTACACATGTTCCCGGTAGTCACAACATGGCGGCTGACCATTTATCTCGCTTCCATTTTCAGGAATTCCTCTAACTCTACCCCAGTGCCTCTCCAATGGCAACTCCTGACCCTCATTTTCAAGACCTCATCATGGATTAGGTCAGCTCCTGGCACATGGCAGAGTACTGTCACAATGCGCCCTGTCCGACAACACTAGACGGTCATACAAAAGTGCTGTCTACACTTTCATTAGGTTTACTAAAGAATTTCGTGTGGTAGACACTTTCTCTATGGAATTTTTAGTAGCTTTCACTTCCTTAAGCCACCTAAAATCTTATGACACAATCAAACTGTATCTCACAGGGTTACAAAATCACATGCTGTCAACTATATCCAAACAAACAAACATTCTTATCCTCATATCAAATTAAAACAGTATTTAGAGGAATACAGAGATGCAGCACACCACAAACACCTCAGAGATTACCAATCATTGGGAACTTATTCAGGTCTCTATCGGATATCTTGGACACTTCACCATTTGAACCACAGACTAATCACACTTTTAAAACCGCCATATACTTTTTAAAAAAATTTTTATTTTATTTTACAAACAAGAAAAAAATACAGACAATATATGCGTTAAGATTTCCTCATATGGTAGAAGTATCAAATAATGCGCATATATAAAGTAAAAATGACAAACAATAAGTACAGCTGTTGGCGAATGACTGTTACCATTGATCATATCCTTGTTAGTGCTACAGCCGTAATCAAAAATACACACATTTAAAATGAATAGGATGTTTTTGGCATGGAGACCATCTCTAAGTATCCTACAGATCGGGGCATCGTAATTCGGGGCATCATTAAAAAAAAAAAAAAATATCCTTTCTCTTTCCCTTTCCTTCCCCTTTTTGCTTTCTCTTTTTTAACCAGTTTCCTGACTTCTGAAATCCTAAAATCTTTAGATATTACCCTGGTTTTGTTTCGTTAGCCATTGATTACAAATTCTGTTATATTGGAATTGTTTCTGTCTAGCTAAGTAATACCCCTTTTCCATTAAGCATTGGTGAGAGATCTGACTTATAACCCTAGGCCATTGTATTACATCTTGAGTTTTCCACTGCCATGCTATTACAATCTTCATTGCTAGTAATATTTGTATTGTCAAGGCTTTGTTAGAAAAATCAAGATTGTCCAAACCTAAATGGAATAGGGCCGTTTCTGGCGAAATTTGAATTGTTGTTTCCGTCAGTTCTGAAATGAAAGCAAATATTTTCCGCCAAGTACTCTTAATGTTATTACAAGACCACCACATATGAATTAGATTCCCTGGTTTATTATTACATTTCCAGCATATTGGATTTGCAGTAGCGTTAAATTTCTGTACTTTCACTGGATATAAGTGCCACCTATATATAATTTTAAAATGTAGTTTCTGTTGTGAAAGACAGTGCGTAATCTTTCCTATTTGAATCCAACTATCCCACCATTGTTTCTTATCTATTTGAATTGACATTTCCTTTCCCCATACCTCTAGAGCTTTATATTTTATTGTAGGTAGGCTAAATTATAACAAATCGTACCAAGCTCTTAAGATTTTTTTTTTGTTTGTTTGAGTTTTTGCTTATTAGTTTGTCGAATTGATCTTTTATTTTTTTTTCCAGGTTTCTGATCAAATTGGAACTTAAATAATATTTGATTCTAATTATGGAAAAATTCTCATTCATTGTACTTCCATACTCTTGTTGAAGTTGCCTAAAAGACTTGAGGTTATTTTTAAGATATAGATCTTGAATTCTTAGATTTTTTTCTTGAAGGCTTACTGGCAGCAGGAAATCTATAATATTGTATTCCAAAATTTCTAGTGGAGAAGTCATTGCACATTTATCCAAGATTCGCAACTTTTTCTTAAATTGAGACCAATCTTTCATAATATTAGACAAGACCAAGGAGTTAGCTTTCAGCAAAATTTACTTATACTTGCCTTTTACGGGTTTCTTAGACCTAGGGAGTTCACGACCATCAACACTTCTGAAATAGGGTCATGCCTTAAAATATCACAACTCATTAAACACGAAGACCACTATGTGCTCTCTCTGCAACACACCAAGACCAGTCAATCGGGTCAAATCCCTTATTACCCCACGTTTAATAAATGGTGTCCAGTGAAATCATTAGATATATATCTTGGCCACATTCAATTACCTCCCAGTCAACCTTTACTTATCTTACATGGGACCATTCTCACTACAAGCAAGTTCACGCTTTATATCAGAATCCTACTAATGAGACTAGGTTTTAATCCCATACATTATTCCAGACACTCCTTCCGTATAGGTGCGGCTTAAACAGCCTCCAATAGGAACATTCCAGCCCATGTTATCAAATCATTGGGGCGCTGGAAGTCAACAGCCTACTGCCGATACATCCGTCAATCAAAGAGAGAGAGATAAGACAAGCATTCCAACACTTTCCAGCATTTTAAGGTTTTATGTTGTGATAATGTTGGTGACTGTTGAATGAATAAATTATTTTGGCACATTCCTTTTTTGCCCACTTTATTTAAAGGCCTACTGATACGTCAGTTTCGGCACACCACAACCGAATGTTGTATAAATTTACAGGTATGGTAGGTGTCAAGTACAAGATACGGCTTCTTGTTGCCCTGTGCACAAATTTAAAAGGTGGAGCCTGGAGTTGTGGGAGGGGCTAGTGCTGATAAAAGAGCTCCCCCGTCATCTCCAGACTCCTCCTCTGTATCGCACAGTTCGTGTCCCTCCCACCACTCCCACTTTTATTTAATTATTTTATTTTATACTTTTTTTTTTTTTTTCTTCTTACAACCTTCCTTGGTGGGCCCACTTTATTTACAGCCCTACTGATATATTGGTTTCGTCATACCACAACCGAATGTTGTATATCTCTACAGGTATGGTAAGGTGTCAAGTACATGATACAGCTTCTTGTTGCCCCGTGCACAAATATATTTATATATAAATATTCTACATGTATATTTATGTAATCGTTTCACATAATTATGTGATTTTATTAACTATAATTTGAGGGACCTGCCTGACAACCCTGGCAGAAAGTCCGTGTAACTTCCCAAAACACTATAAAACTTGGACATGGGTGGTACTGTTGTACTCGTGAGACATTGCTAAATATGAGTGTTTTAGAGCAGTATAACACATAATGCTGATGACATCATTGTTGAAAGTGCAGCTTGTTTGTGAAAAATACAAAAAATAAATATGAATGCTAACTTTGGCAAGGGTTTGTGACTAAGTGACTACTAAAAAAAGACTGGCCATACCTCATTTTGAATACCTTGAGTTGTCTACTTTTGCAAATGCTATGCCATGAGGGGCATAAAACTAACATGGGGAAAGCCCTATATTTGACCCTGTACGTTTCCAAAACCCCATAAAACCTATACATGGTGAGGGGTACTGTTGTCCTTGTGAGACATGGCTGAACACAAATCTGTGTGTTTTTTTGCAGTAAAAGCTAACAGTATTATGACATTCACAGCAAAAATGCCATGCAGAACAAAAAAAAAAAAAATAATAAAATGTCTTTGTTTATCACTTTTTTTTTTTTTTTAGATTTTATTCATTTTAAATTATGTTTCATATATAAATATTTGATGTGAAATGAAAACCATGTTTCTCCTGAACAAATTGATATATAATAAATGTGGCTGCACAATATGAAAGAGGTAAATTATGGATGAACAGACATATTGTCAAATTCCACGTTTTGTTTTGATCAGAACTTGCACAATTGCTTCCATCCTTTTTTTCTGTTTGTTTTTTGAACGCTATAGTGTTCCTGTAACAAATATGGTTTATAATCACATGTTACAGGGAGCATCAAAAAATGTGTATTATTTCTAATAAGGTCTGGAATCCATGGGATGTTTATTATGAGGACAAGAAAATACTAATATTACAACTATATATTCTGTTGTATGCTCTTCCAACTCTATTGTTCAATGCAGCTGTGTCATAACATGTTTATTAAATCTAGGGGCATCCTCAGTCTTTCTTATTATATATATTTGGCTGTCTCCCTTTCTCAATCTCTTAGCTCTCTACACATATTGGTTTGATTGAAAATAATTTGTGTCACTCCAGCAGTGAATATTAGTAGCTGAGACCTTTCATTTCATTCTTGTCGTACAATTTCTATACGCTCTACGATGTATAATGCATGCTTTCTAAGAAAACAGAAAAAGATTAGCAGGTTTGCAGTTAGTTTCTTCTGTGCTATGAATCTGCGTACATCTTTGCACTCTTACCAAATGCTATATATCCTGGGGAAAACAGTACATTCAACCCTTGCGCTTTTTGTCAATAACAATCCTTTTAGCAATATTATTTTTAAGGTGTGTGGAATGTACAAGATTAGCATATTTTCTTTACCGCAAAAGAATGTAAGAATCTAAAGAAAATGACAAATACATTGAACCATACAATATGGATGCCCTGTGCACATACTTTGTTATAACACCTGGCCTAGAGAAGACGCCCTTGAGAATTTGCTGACAATCTATTCACTACTTTTAAGGTCAAAATGGATTCCTAAATAATGCCTATAATAAAAAAGGTAACAGTTTAACACTATCTACACACCATGAGACAGCAGGGAATTGTCACATTTGAGGTGTGAAAGGCAAGAAAACCTGTCTGTTGAAAATGCATGTCCTGTATTAATTTTCCATTGAAAAACATGTTTTCTGACCTCCCAGCCAGTACCACAAGCATTCCAGAGTCATAAACTAGTATAGAGGTCCCTTGTCTATCTCACACCTGGACTCAATCAAAGCTAGACCATGAGAGTGATTAATGCATTCCATGTTTACATGTGATTAGGCCTCTTTTATTGCTTGCATTGTAAGTGAATGCAATGTGTTTTAAATAGCCATGTCTGTCTTCTGATTGCATTGACTGTGTGCAAGTGAAGAGACAACAATTCAAATCTGCATACTTTGCATTCTGCTTTACAATTGATGGATTCTATTTCCACTGGAAACCAAATTTTGTCCAAGTGTGAATTATTGTTTATATATTGTTATCCTTCTAGTCTTTTAGTCTAGTCTTTCTCACACCCTATGAGGTGATGTCACAGCCTGACTTTCATATTACTGCAGCTAGATGGATTGCTGGCTCAGAAAGTATGTGGTATAGAATAGTGATGGCTGACCAATTTGTAAAACCAGACATTTGTTTGCCATGATGGCGGGGGCGTACCTAAAGCATTTGGCACCCGGGGCGGGTCCTATGTTTGGCACCCTCCCTTCTCCCCCCCACTTTAAAATGTAAAAAACAATTGCACTTTAAAAAAAAATGTATTTAGCACTGAGCCTTGTTTGAATGTTCGCATGTTTTTGTATTGAGTATGTTTGAGTGACTGTAGGGGTGTGTTTGTATGTAGTGTTGGCGTTTGAATGCAAGCAAGCATTTGTGTGTTGTGTGGTATTTGAATGCAGTGGTGTGGTTATACATAATGGTGGGGTTTGTATGTAGTGCTGACGTTGAAATGCAGGGAGTATTTGTGTGTAGTGTTGGCGAGATTCTGAGATGTATGCACATATACACACTAACACACGTGCAGATACATAGACACTCAGACACACATGCAGACACAGAGGCGACTCTAGGAACAATATATGGGGGTGGGTACATAAGATACCACAGTCAAAACTGGGGGGCACTAAAACTTTTCACTAGGGGATGGGGTAACATAGAAACATAGAAACATAGAATGTGACGGCAGATAAGAACCATTCGACCCATCTAGTCTGCCCAATTTTCTAAATACTTCCATTAGTCCCTAGCCTTATCTTATAGTTAGGATAGACTTATGCCTATCCCACGCATGCTTAAACTCCTTTACTGTGTTAACCTCTACCACTTCAGCTGGAAGGCTATTCCATGCATCCACTACCCTCTCAGTAAAGTAATACTTTCTGATATTATTTTTAAACCTTTGTCCCTCTAATTTAAGACCTCTTGTTGTGGTAGTTTTTCTTCTTTTAAATATAGTCTCCTCCTTTACTGTGTTGATTCCCTTTATATATTTAAATGTTTCTATCATATCCCCCCTGTCTCGTCTTTCTTCCAAGCTATACATGTTAAGATCCTTTAACCTTTCCTGGTAAGTTTTACCCCGCAATCCATGAACCAGTTTAATAGCCCTTCTCTGAACCCTCTCTAAGGTATCAATATCCTTCTGAAGATACGGTCTCCAGTACTGTGTACAATACTCCAAGTGAGGTCTCACCAGTGTTCTGTACAATGGCATGAGCACTTCCCTCTTTCTACTGCTTATATCTCTCCCTATACAACCAAGCATTCTGCTAGCATTTCCTGCTGCTCTATTACATTGTCTGCCTACCTTTAAGTCATCAGAAATAATCACCCCTAAATCCCTTTCCTCAATTGTTGAGGTTAGGACTCTATCAAATATTCTGTACTCTGCCCTTGGGTTTTTACGTCCAAGATGCATTATCTTGCACTTTTCCACATTAAATGTCAGTTGCCACAATTCTGACCATTTTTCTAGTTTACCTAAATCATTTGCCATTTGGCTTATCCCTCCTGGAACATCAACCCTGTTACATATCTTAGTATCATCAGCAAAAAGACATACCTTACCATCAAGACCTTCTGCAATATCACTAATAAAAATATTAAAGAGAATGGGTCCAAGTACAGATCCCTGAGGTACCCCACTGGTGACAAGTCCACGCTTCGAATATATTCCATTAACTACAACCCTCTGTTGCCTGTCAATCAGCCACTGCCTTACCCATTCAACAATATTGGAATCCAAACTTAAAGCCTTCTATGTGCAACAGTGTCAAAAGCCTTACTGAAATCTAGGTAAGCAATGTCTACTGCACCACCCTGATCTATAATTTTAGTTACCCAATCAAACAAATCAATAAGATTAGTTTGGCATGATCTCCCTGAAGTAAATCCATGTTGTCTCTGATCTTGAAATCCATGTGTTTTTAGATGTTCAACAATCCTATCCTTTAACATGGTTTTCATCACTTTCCCCACTACTGAAGTAAGGCTTACTGGCCTATAGTTGCCCGACTCCTCCCTATTATATGCTGCCATTGGCTGTCTGATGCCAGCATGCTATGCATGCTGGCATCTGGCAACACATTTTAATAGAAATCACATTAGCCACCCAGATTTCTTGTTGTAGGCTGGCTGACACCTCTTAACTTCGATCTTTTTTTTATCAGATAACTCCCCTATTTCATATCCTTATATGGGATAGCCATATTTAAGGACGCCATATAAGGGAGTTATCTGCTAAACAGCACCCTAATTCAGTATCTTTAATTATGGAAATGTCACATAAGGGCACCAATTTAGGGAATCATCTACTAAACAGCTAAAAGTTCATTATTAAAAACACATACACAGTTATATACACACACAATAGCACTATAGATGTGTGTGTGTGTACATCTGTGATGGTTTTATGTGTGTGCGCGCGCGCGTGTATATATATGTATATATATATATATATATATATACACACACACACACACACACACACAATCACAGACCCACACATACAATCCCAGACCTAAACACACAATCACATACATAAACACACATATTCACAACACACACTTAACCACAGAGATGCACACACAATAACAATCACAGTCCCACACACATACAATAACAGACACACAATCACATACACATATGATTAGATGTACACACACACAATCATCACATACATACACACATTTAATAAGAGGTCCACCCAACCTTTTCTACCTTGCTCTGGGAGTGCTGGAGTGGAGGACTGGTGGTCAGTGGTTGCTGCTGGGATCTCTGTTCTTCCTGCACAGGTCCCTCACGTGCTCTGTGTGACGGACCGCCTGGCACCCCGACCAGGTGCCTCCGTCACTCGACGTTCCTAGTGCTCACGGAGGACTCTAAGCACTCCACCAGACACCATCAACACTGCAGTCCCCACGTCCAGCGTTACAGCTTGGCTGGGAACTCATAGTCCTCCACCCACCCTGGACCCAAAACCAGGATCCAGCTTCCAGTGGGTGAACCTCTCCTACTCCAGAGAGTGTAGCAGGAACAGCTCTTAAAAGAGCTAGTGATTATAATCCCAGGGGAGTATAGTGATATGGCAATCCCCAGGGTAGATACAGACTTTTCCCCCCACACATGAGATAAGACTCTATGTTGAGGGTAAAACACTGGCCTTTTATGCAAGTTTTCTAACAAGGGTTACACCCACGTGGACCTTGTTGGTTAACAAACCAATAAAAACAGTAATTAAATGTACAACACTCCCATTACAAGCATACAATCCCTCCCCTCTGCCTGTGAGTTAATTGAGTCAGATACTGTATTAACCCAATTATCTCCAGGCAGAAAAACACACATTTTTACAAATTCTCATAAGTACCCCAAAACACAACATATCCCCTGATAGCACTGATCTGGGTGAACAACATATCCAAAAATCACCCATATCAGATCAGGGGTTCAGAAATTCTATGGAAGTCCTAGTTTTGCCCAGGCGCAGGCAGGTTTTCATGCCCAAAACAGTTCCATAGAATCGCAGCTAAGTGCCGCTGGAGGACCGACCGGGAACCGTGAGGTTTTCATGCCGAAAATAGGTCCAGGGCATTTGCGGCTAAGTACCCCAGAAATCTATTCGTGGTTCTGGTCCATGCGAACAAGATGGCCGCCACCACGTGTTCGAATGGCAGCCACTTCGACTGTTCGGGAGTTTGAAGTGCCACTTCGTAAGTTTGAACTGTGGCCTTAAAAATTCAAAAAGGCACGAATAGTGATTTAAACCAAGTTTTATCACAGGGGCCACAGTCACAGGGTAGGCCACTCCAAAATCCAGTGGCGAGGTCACTTTCGCCACACTCTGTAATAATGCCGATGCCGGGATGACGTGATATCCCTGTCACGGGTGGCGGTATGGAAACTGGGACCCCTGAGTGCCTGATGAGAAGATGAGCGGAGTCTTCAGCGAGGTAATGGACTATCAGGTAGTGCAGGGTAACCACACGTCCCCTGCTGTTGAGCACCAGCGTTTGTGCAGCCACAAACCAGAACCCTGATGCAGCTACAGCGCATCCCAGGACCTTGATATGCAGACCTCCCAGGAACTGGATAGGGGGGCTCTGCAGCAGACATGTATCCAGTACAGAAACAAGGCAAGGCTAGGATAGTCACCAAACATGAAAACAAGACAGAACTAATAGAACCCAGAACAGGACAGAAAGCAAAACCCAGAACACGTACACAAGACATGAGGAAAACAAGAACAGGGCAGGACAGGACTGTTCATGAACTGGGATTACAAAATAAAACAAGACAAGATATGATAGGCAAAACAAGAGGAGACATAACTAAGCACTATATATGAAAAGTATGGGGATTTAGTTACATTACATGATCATACATTGCATAAGCCTGCCACAACGCCAATGTACCCCATATTCAGCAGGTCCTACACTGCCTAATGTTCGCTAAAAGAACCATACTAAACCACAATAGCACTTACCTGCAATAAAGGGCAGAGGCTTGAAACACTGCTGCAAGTCCAGACTGAAACAAAAGGAATGATGGAAAACAAACGGGTGTGGCAACATAAAACAAACATTTAAAGGAAACCTGGACACTGGGAATTCCAGGGACGGATTACAGGAATGAACCCAGAAAAACCCAGCATAAAGAAAACCAGACATAGAACAGAAAACCAAAAAAACAAGAAAAACTAAACAAGAATTGTAAAAAGAATACTGGATCAGAAGCCATCACCAGACTGATCCGCAGAACAAGGCATGATGTGACAATCCCAACTTCCGGCTGTTGCGGTCACCGGCCCGCCGCGTGGCAAGGCTGTGCCCGACCGACACAGCCTCGTTGACAGCACGAGCTTACCTGCTCGTCGGCGAGCCGGCAACCGCTCCCCCAGGTCTTCCGGGCGTCGCACCCAAATTAAAGATGGCGCTGACGCGTGGTAGCGTCCTTATGTAGCTCCGCCCCCGAAAATTATAATAACGTGCGCGTGACGTCACAACGTCAACACACACGCACGTTTTGGGTTCAGAGGTCGCCCTCTGACCAATCAGAGCATAGAGAGAGATATTTAAATCCCTAGCTCTTCCCAGTACCTTGCCCTGTCGTGGTTTCCTGTTCCTGGTTTCCTGGGAGTGCTTTATCTTTGTGAATCTGATTCCCTAGTATCCTGATCTTGGCTTTTCCCTGGTTATTCTGAATTCTGGTTTCCCTGACTTGGCTTGTGTAAACGGTATTGTGTATTTTCTGGCTTCCTTGACCTCGGCTTTCCCTTTGACCATTCTCTGTCTCTAGCGTATTAGTCCGGCCATTCTAAGGTCCGGTTTACGCTCTGTCCTTTTATTTTCCTTTTCCTTCTTATGTATATGTTTATATAGTTTCTGCGTGCTGGACCACACTAGTAGTCGTGACACCAGCTCACTGCAGGGCGAAGACAGTCAGACACAGTCAGATGCACACAGTTATGCACATATACTGTCAAATACAATCACTCGCACACAGTCAAACACACAGTTACAGGCAAACTGTCACACACAGTTACACACACACACCTACAGGTAGACAGTCACACACACACAGTTACAGGCAGTAGTACGCACAATTACAGGAGATATGTTTGCATCCTGGTCGCCAGGACTTTTGTGAGCAATTTGACGTCAACGTTTAGAAGCGAGATTGGGCGGTAGCTGTCACAGGATTTGGGGTCCTTATCATGTTTCAGGACGACGGTGATCTATTTAGGCATTCGGCATGGAGTGTCCCTCCGTCTGCTAACTTGTTCAGGGCGGTCTTCAGTCTGGGTGTGAGGATGTGTGTGAAGGTCTTGTAGTGTCCTATTGATAGTCCATCTGGGCCTTACCAGCTTTGGCAGTTTTGATTGCAGCCAGAAGCTCCTCTTCCCCTATGGGAGAGTCGAGCCTGTCTGCCACATCTCTGGGGATTCCGCCAGGTGAATATGCCTCAAGGTATTTCTGGATTTTGGAAGAGTGGTCAGGTTCCGAAATTCTGGCAGGGTCTCTTGTAGATTTGTAGAGTGTGGCATAGAATTCCTGGAATTCCTTTGCTGTATCCTGGGGAAACAGTGAGACACCTCCTGTGGACATTTTCAGCTTATATACCTGGGTGTATTGCCGCGGCCCACACAGCATGTTGGCTAGGAACTTTCCTCCCTTATTGGCGTGCATGTAGAAGAAATCCTTGGATCTCTGGATGCTCCTGTAGTCTCGGTTCATCAAGAGGTTAATTAGGGCGCGATGCTCGTCCAGTAGGTCTGCATAAATTTATTCCAGTTATGATCGTTTATGTTGTGACTCTAGGTTGTCTATCTGTGCTGACAGGTTGGTCAATTGTTACACCGCTTCCCTTTTCTTCTTGGTGGCTAAACCAATCAGGCAGCCCCTGATGACGCTCTTGTGTGCTTCCCACAGAGTAGTGGGCGATATCGCGACAGTGTCAATCTCCTCGAAGTAGAGGGATATGGTTTGCATTACTTGTTCTTTAATTGCAGGAGTATCTAACTCAGTTTCCTATACAAGTGATAGAGTGATAGAGAATACACAGCTTTGAGAGGGTGTACTTTAGCACAATCACATATCTCTATATATAATATCATTACTGTATAGAAAACAGAGTGAGATTCTCTATCACTTGTATAGGAAACTAAGTAAGATTCTCCATCACCATTTATATGTCAGTACCCGAACCAATTTCCAGATATCTTCTCTTCTAATCTAGATAAGTGTTTTTAATTTCAATATATTCAACTAGCAATGTGGATTATTGCATTTTTATACATTTGCTGGTTTTTGTTACCATTAGAATATATGCTCTGAACCCTTGTATTCATATTTGCACTAGTATCATGTGATAGAGTAATATGGTTAATACACTATAATGGTATACTTTGAATCAGCCCAACCTAATTTGAATAAGATGGTCTATGTTTCCGATGAAACTATTTTTTGTATATGCATATAGACACCGCGATTTTCGCGGAAGTAACATACAATCAATCCCCAGGTGGAACGCACACACCGTCCAGCATGCTTTCCAGTGACACCTATTGTGCGACCCGGAAGTGGAACGCATGCAGCATTATGTGTTCCAAGTGCGAACAGCCGAACCTGGAAGTACACAGAAGAGGGAATTTAAAAAGACGCCAAGGAGGCTCCACCAGAAGATACCAACTGAGGAAGCCCCCACCACAGGGTGAAACGCATTTTGGATCAATCTAGCCATCAGGCAATATTCACACAGATCTTTTAAGTCAAATTTGGACACTCTTATTGAATTATTTTATTCTTACCAATAAAGCTTTTTTGGAAAAAAAGCGTTTACATCTCATCCTTACCAAGAAGCTACTAAGGCTATTTAAGGACCAGCAGGAAGAAGCAGGGTGACATCTTTTTAAGAGTCCCTCTGCGCTTTCCATGAGAGCCATATGCTAATTTGGCTCCAGGCTTGTGAGTACTACAGATCCACAAGACCTCTATACTGTTAAGCTACACAATACTGTACTATGTTGTTCTGTTTAATTTTTTAGAATCATCAGACATGTGTCCCACCAATTGTATGTATTTTATGGGGGATGTCATGTCTATCAAGACCAGGCCATGGTCTGACCAAGTTGAGGCCCCTATTTCTGTCTTGAGTAAGCCGGTGAGGACTTCCTGTTGTACAAATACGTAGTTTATTCGAGTGTAACGGCTGTGTACAGTAGAGTAGTGAGTGTAGTCCTTGTCTGTTAGGTGGAAAGCTCTCCAGCAGTCTCATTTTTTTTAGGGCATTGTGGATATGACGGACTGCCTTTGAGGAGTCGAGGTTGGGTTCTAGGGTGACAACAAAGTCCCCGCCGACTATTAGAGAGCCCTCTGCAAATCGATTCAGCTTGGATAGTGTCCTTTATAGGAAGTTTTATTTGCGTTGATTGGGGGCATAGAGGGCTGCGATCGTGTATGTTTTCTCAGCCACCTTGTCCTTGAGGAATAGGTACCTGGATCCTGTACGCATTCCAAAACTTGAAAATGTAAAGTAGCCGCTAATAATTTTGCATCTACTGTTTTCCATGAGGTCGAGTTGTTGCTAAAGTAATTCGCCAGGTAGTATTTATCCTGTAGCTTGGGGGCTTTTCCCTCTAGGAAGTGGGTTTACTGCAAGAAAGCCACGGTCTCTTTATGGGTTCGGAGTTCACGTAGCATGTGGGATCTACGTTCTGGGTAGTTGCGACCTCTACAGTTGAGCGTGAGGATTGAGAGTGGTGCTGTGTGGTAGGCCATACGGAGAGCTTGTTCTTCCTGACCTTGTAAGACCAGGCGGCGAGGCCTCTTAAAGGCGGTCGGGCACCTCATCTCCCCACAGGTCAGGGGAATAGTTAGGGGTAAGTCTGAGATAGGGATAATTGGTGGTCCCCCTGCCGTGTCCTGCCTCACAGGTGATGAGTGGGAGCCAACAGGGGAAGGTTGAGAATAGAGAGAGAGAGGTAGGCAAACAGCAGTAGTTCCCCCTCCAGATAGGTAATGTCCTTGGTCATCCCCACTTTGTCGGGGGGCACTCCTGTGGCAGTGAAGGTCATCTAGGCTCACCCGAGTAATCCAATCGGTAAAGCGAGCTGATAAAACCACACCACCCTAAAGACACACACGAGTGTGTGAGGAGTGTGTGGCTCTGCCCCAAACCATGTGTATTAAATATTCTATGTAAAGAGATAATATAATATATCCTAATGAGAAGTTGCTCGCTCGTCACCCCTGCTGTGTGTGTATATATCTGCATGCGTGTCCGTGTATGTATCTGCATGTGTTATATGGTGTGTATTTGTATGGATGTCAGTGTGTGTTTGTATGAATGAAACACATTGAGGGACGAGAGTGGGACACATAGAGGGGCTGGGGGGGTGGAGTGAGACGTATGGGGTGGGGGGTTAACTGCAATATAAACACCGGGGTCCTGTGGTTTCTAGTTATGTTTCTGCCTCCCTAAATTAATCCATGTCATCTGGTGGCTATATAAATTAAGGATCGACCGATATTGATTTTTTTAGAGCCGATACCTATACCGATTGTCTGTGAACTTTCAGGCCGATAGTTGATAACTTACTGATACCGATATTCTGTACATTTACCATTTTGAAAAAATTTACAATTTCTACACAAATCTGCCATTAGCTGAACTTCTAGCTTGTGTCATTACTACCTTGTGATTTACATGCTACAAGTACAGAACCATTTGTAGTGGGAGATCATCTTTCAATTATTTTTTCTTCTATTCTTTAAGGACCTGTAATGTAAATTAAATTAAATTATTGGTTATTTCTTTAAAGGTTACTAATTAAGTCTTGAATGATAAAATAACTTTTGAATAAGTATTTCATATTTGATTATATATTATCTAAAAGTAAATGGGAATATCCCCCTCCCCGTCCTCCTCACCCTCCCTCCCCATCCACCCCTGACTGACTGAGTGAGTATAACGGAGTAAATAAAATAACCTGGCTTTTACCTTTTACACTCAGACCAAAACAATAAAATTGGCAAGAGAGGGCCCAAGGAGGTCACAATTAGAACACAATTGGCAGAGCAGACAGTACTAGACACTAGAAAGAAGGCAGACAGCACTACTTCAGCTCCTCTCTCAAACTCTCGCAATTTTGCACCACAGAGCGTTACCGCAGTAACCAGCGGCAACGCTTTGACGGCCAGGGCCTCCTGAATTGCAAGACTTGGAGAGAGGACAGATTGCACGTGCTTGGACCACCTCATTATCGGTAAGAATATAGGCCAATACTGATATTTAAGAAAAAGCGGAATAGTGGCCAATAATATCGGCAAAACGATAATCGTCGATCCCTAATATAAATGCTTTAATACTCAATAATCCGAATAATCTTTAAAGGATTTTAAACATTTTTTGTTTAGAAGAAGGGCCTTTAATAAACTGTTTCTGATAATTTACATTTTTTTGTATAACATTCTTCTATAAGTCTCTATATAAGTTGATGTTTCCGAAAATACAATATAAGGAGATAGGCCTTGATTTATGGTTTTTAGATAAACTTTTAAATAGCTTTTTTAAAATATCAAAAAATATATATCATATATAAAAATCCCACTACGTAAAAAATATCAAATTATTATATATATATTATAGATATTATATATAATTTAAAATATTAAATCATTATAAAATTTCACCAGAAAATATTGAATCTGTACTAATAATTACGAGAAATTAAGCAAAACAAACAAACAAACAAAGAACAAAAAAAGTATTATTTAACAATGTTACCATATTTCCTTTCTGAATCCTCAAACAACATGCTCATTTAAACCTGTCTGAATCAATTTTTTCTCACTCTGTCACTTCTGGCGTGTCACTTGAATGTTCATTTTTAATTACAGTCTATTTTCCTATGTCAATGACTTTCCATTGCTTAACTTCCTTTGCTATTTGTAAATAAAGAAAGAATACTCTGTTATGGAAATAAGCACTAGTAACTTACTTCAAAACCCGGATAAGGATCTACAGGTGGGCACTGTAAGGACAGAAAATAGATGAGATGTGTATGCATAACCCTAAGGTCAGCTGCTGGCTTTAATCAATGCACCAAATGAACAATTAAAGGCCCTTTGAAAAGAACACCCCTTAAACTTAAAGGGACACTATAGTCACCCAGACCACTTCAGCTCAATGAAGTGGTCTGGGTGCCAGGTCCCTCAGGTTTTAACCCTTCAGATGCAAACATAGCAGTTGCAGAGAAACTGCTATGTTTACATTTGGGGTTAATCCAGCCTCTAGAGGCTGTCTTCTGGACAGCCACTAGAGGCACATCTGCGACGCTGGAGGCGAATTACTTGCCACGCATGCACATTACGCTGCACTAGGGAGCTGACGTCAGCGAGGGAGGAGAGGAGCTGAAGGAGTGCTGAGGGAGTCCGGCGCTGGATAAAGGTAAGTAGCTGAAGGGGTTTTAACCCCTTCAGCGCCACGGGAGGGGGACCCTGAGGGTGGGGGGACCTAAGGATTATATAGTGTCAGGAAAACCGCTTTGTTTTCCTGACACTATAGTGATCCTTTCAATATAACAATGCCCATTATAATCATTGCATATTGTTATTTTTTTTTTTTTTTTTAATTGTGGTAGCAGCTGTAAACAGATAAGACCTGTTTAAATAGACCAACACAATGAGTAAATATAAATACTTATCATCATATATAGTATAGACATTCTTCATATGTGTCACAATATGTCAATGTGTTGATAAAACTGAAAATATGCAAATAATAGTGCAGACTAAAATAGCACTCTTATTTGTTTATTTTCTATTAATGAGTGAGAGTTGAAAGCGGATAAGGAAGGGAACAATCCTGGCTTTCTAGATGACAGAAGACGTTACCAAGAGGGGGAGGAGGCATAAAAGTGGGAATTTCTCTTGAAATGAAACTTTGATAAAACAGAAATCAACTTTGATAAAACAAGACAAATGGCACAGCCAGTTAATTTCTAAAGCACTCCAACAACCTGAAGATCATCAATAGTTTGCAGAGGCTCTTTAAGCCTTTAAAGCAAGCATGTCAAACTCAAAGTCTAGCATGTGCCAAAAACACAAATGGAATTCAACTAAACAAACCTCTTAATAGGTACTTCTTGAAACCCTGCATGCCTTCGTGCACCTCCAGGTACTCCACTGTCCAGTTGCGGCCATCGCAAAACAGGCCGACACACACTCACTGACACACACACACACACACACTGACAGACACTGACACACACACATACTCAGCCTGCTTTTCATTCCCAGTCCAGCCCTGACAGACACTGACACACACACATACTCACTGACAGACACTCACAGAGACACACACACACTCACTGACAGACACACACATTTACACATTCTTGCAAACACTCCCATCATTCCCTGGGGTCCAGTGGGGATCTTCTATCTGGAGATCTCCTTCCTGCTCCTCACTGCTTCCTCACACGCAGTTTAGTGATGCCGGGTGCCGGAATATGATGTCATATTCCGGCACCTGACATTACTACAGACAGCGTGCGCAAGGGAGCAGTGAACAGGGCCGGACTGGGAATGAAAAGCAGGCTGGAAAAAAATTCCATACCAGCCCCGTAATGCATCGCGCCAGCATGGTGCGCAGATATGGAAGCGGGAAAAAAACTGAAAACTGAAAACTATCACTCAAACATGAAAGAAAGCACTTATAGGGCTTCAAAATAAAGCAGAGCAGATTTATTGTAAGCAGACGCAGACGTGCATTTGCA